CACCCCCCCCCCCCCCATCTACTTGCCACAAAGATATGGCGATGGTAGCACTGTCGCAACCCTGGCTCTTGCCAGAAGGTGACGTGGATGAGAACCTCGGCAAAGCTGAAAGTACGCGAACTTCAGGAGGAACGATATTTGTAATAGCCTCCATCTTCTTCACCATCTTTGTTCTCGATGCCATCATCGTCTTATCCAGATAACAATCTCGCACCCAAAAACCCTGCCCTAATCCGCAAATCCCCATTCAAAAAACAAAACGACCAAGGCCTTGGTGGACGAATCGTGTCCGACGGCGGGTTCCGAACTGAGACATTAAGGGCTTAGGCATAATATGAGTCTAGGGTTTATAGTTTACAGCGGTTTCGAGTGTAGGTTTTAGGGTTTAGGGTGTAGGGGTGTCATACATGTAGAGGTCTGAGGAGTTGGTCACAGAATCCCCTTACTTTCGCTCTACACTTTTGTTGGAGACTCTCCCTCTCTCTCTCTCTCTCTCTCTCTCTCTCGCTTTTTGTGTATATATACACACACCCCAAAACCATATATATATATATATATATATATATGTACACATATACACATACATACATGCATGCATGCATACATACATACGGCAGGGCAGAACTGGGCAGGACAGCCCCTGGGCCCCTGGGTTCTGGTCCGCCTGTCGTAGTACGACGCTGCTTTACCTGTTCAGGGTTTAGGGTTTAGGGTTTAGGGTTTTGTTGCTCCTAAGCCCTGCAGTCTCACAGCCTCGCCCTTCGAAGTCGACCTAAACCCTAACCCCTAAACCCCGAAACCCTAAACCCTAAACCCCTAAACCCTTAAGTCAGGCCGGAGGCCGAATCCAAAAGGCAATCCATCTGGTTTAGGGTTTAGGGGTTTGGGGTTTAGAGTCTTAAGATTTAGGGTGTAGGGCTTTATGGTTTAGGGGGCCTTATTAATTACCTATGGTAGTTTGGGTGTTCCTTGTTATGATTATTAAGCCCCCTACATTATGTGGGACATGCCTTTGCAAAGGCTTAAGGGACTTTGGATTGAGGTGCTGAGAGGTTTGTCAGCGCAGGGATACTTAATCAAGTCTAGGGTTTAGGGTTTAGGGTGGGAATCGAGAATCAAATCAGCAATGATTGAAGCAATCATTGGGTGGCCTCACAAAACCCCAAACCGTAAACCTTGTAAACCTCGAAACCCAGCTCTAACACAATACCGCCCCCGGGCTAAACCCAAAATGTCAGGAACAGACGTCGGGGCGGAACACTACGTAAGCCTGAAAAATAGAGAACAGGTTAGAAAAATCTACTTTACAAATCTTAAGGCTAAGCTCGTAAACCATACCTCAATGGGAGCCCATTGTTTTGTAGGGTCCCTGTGCATCCCATCTTAGGGTTTAGGATGAGAGCCTACAAAAAAGTAGGTCATGGCGGTTTAATGTAAACCTAAACCCTAAACCCTAAACCCTAAACCCCTAAACGGCGTCACTCCCGAAGCTTCCGTTTGTAGTCCTTGAGCTTTGAACCCTGGGCGCTAAAGCTCGGAATGTTGAGACTTAAGCTGCCTGCCCAGTTGTCAAAATTATGGTCCCTTTTGAGTCCTTATTATAATACGGCACCTATTATTTAGGGTACCCCAAATTGCTTGAACCGAAAACCCCTAGGCCCAAGGCCTTGAACTCTTAACTCAAGCCTACCCGCCGCTTCGAAGGCGACATCCTATACTTACGGCTTAGGCTTTAGGGTTTAAGGTTTCGGGCGGCGGGCTCGAAAAACACAAAACACTATACACAATAACTGTACTGACGCTCGGCACCGTGTGACCCGAAGCCACTGAGTCGCGAAAACTCAGGTGCACCTGCCCCGGCGATGTGTGCAAGGCCCTGGAGCTTCTATACCCTGCGCCCTAAACCTTCAACCTCTATCAACCGTAAATATTGCTTGGGTAGTTCTTCCGGTTTAGGGTTTAGGGTGTAGGGTTTAGGGTCCCACACTCCGGAAATCAAACAAGGGCGGTACTACGGAACAGTGAGAGGTAGAAGCACTCACAAGGTGTAGGACATGTCCCAGCACGTTGATTGTCACAACGTTGTTGAATCTCACGCCGAGCTCCATCAGCGCTGCGATGTTTGTTGGGCTTGTGCGTTTCTGATCCACAAGACTTATCCAGCCCTACTGCATACCTAAGCAGGGAGAGTCGAGCTGAGCATGATCTTAGACCCTACACCCTAAACCTCGCGCAAGGGATGCTTTCCTTGCCTTCCTGGGCACCTGGGGTTCAGGGTTTGGAGTTTAGGGTTTCTGCGCTGATTTGCATGTGGTGGTCCCATCAAGGGTGCGTTTCCAGCGACATTCGCCAGGAAATGGCTGACATGGGCAACGCCGTTGCTAATCTTTCTAGAGCCACAAAGGGTCCAAGTAATAGTATAGTATATACTTTTGCGGCCCAAATGTCTACTAAGTACCTACTATAATGGTACTTGGACCTTTTGGGAGCACGACATCGTCGCAGGTTGTCGCGACTGGCACCATGAGACGATGGCAGAAAGTCTTATCCAATCACTTTCAGGGTTTAGGTCACAATGTAGGGGCCTTAATAGTTAGAACCGGGTTTTCTTATAATAGTATAATATGTCCCAAGACCCTATTCTGATTATTAAGGCACCTACATTAGCAAGCGGAGCCGCGAGCACACAGAGACCCGACCGGCGATTTTGGACTTCAAAGCCGACTGGCCGGCACTGGTCGAGATTCGCACAACATCCATCCATGCCCAGGGTTTAGGGTTTAGGGTTTAGGGGTTAGGGTTTAGGGTTTAGGGTTTAAGGTTTAGGGTTTAGGGTTCAGGGTTTAAGGCAGTGGAGAAGTCCTCGTTGTTGATGGTCGGCACGCAATCCTTGCATTCCTCGCCGCACCCGCTGTTTACTCAGAGCTGTCGGCTTGAACTTGCGACCCAGACCCGGCAAACCGAACTATACTATAGGGACCTTAATAATTACCTACATTATTTTGGAGGGTTCCTTATTCTAATTGCAGTATAATGTGCCCCAAAACCCTATTCTACTTATTAAGGCCCCTACATTGCATGCTCCCTTTTCAGTGGGGTGTTTTGAGTGAGGGTTTTCCTCAGAGCTGCTGCACTTGAAGGACGATCAGTAGCTGAAGCTAGAGTTAAGACCAGGATGTAGGGTGTGGGTTGTAGGGTTTTGCATTTGGGATGTGGGGTTGTAGTGACTAAGGTGTAGTTTCTTCGGGGGTAAGGGCTTAGGGCTCTCAGGGCATTCTAGCTCCGTGCGACGTGGCTTCAGGGTTTGTTGGTCCCACAAAGCTTTGAAAAGCACAACTGAAGGTTCACAGGGACCCTAAACCCCCCTAAACCCTAAACCCTAAACCCTAAACCCTAAGCCCTAAACCCTAAACCCTAAACCCTAAAACCCTAAGCCCTAAACCCTAAACCCTAAGCCCCCCTAAACCCCAAAGGGTCGGCCATGGGTGCCTTTTAAGCCCTTGGCGACACAAGGCCCGAGCCGATAATGCAAAGCTCGAGCCTGGAGGTACTTGAAGGTTCGTGGACATGTGACTAAGGTGATACGAAATGCCGTCAGAGATGCACCAAAAGAAGGAATGTTTGATCCATTTATTTTGATCCACCACACCAGCATCTTCTAGCCATGAGCCTTGAAGGCTTGATCCCCTACTTCTTTCGAGCTGTGCGCCTTAGGCACTAAATCACGCAAGCGCAGACCCTTCCTGTTGTTGCTACCAAGTAGGCCTTTGGCGCTGGCGCAGACTTCGTCATGCTAGGCACGCGGACTTGGGTTCCGTTGCGTTCGCCTCGCGTACCGAAGACACAGTCATTACCCCGAGGGTGTAGAAGGTCGGGATCGCTTTAGGGTTTGCTTGTAGTCTCCATTGTAGTTCCTTTTTGGGGATACCTTATACACTCCTTAATGTATAATTGGTTAGACCAAAAAAAGGAACTACAATGGAGACTGTAGGTAGGGTTTAGGGTTCAGAGCTCCGGATCGCGGCGGGCTTGATTCGTTCAAGATGGAAGGCTCTTGGCTTGTGGTCGAGTTCATAAAGTTACAGAAGCCTTAATCATTACTTCAACACTATTCCTTGGGGCTCCTGATTATAATGATTACTATACTATAATGGAGCCCCAAACCCCATTCTAATTATTAAGGCTCCTGTAGTACTGTAGTAGCCAGCCAACAAGAAGTCAAACCCTTTCTGTACTTGTACCGAGCAGCGTTACTGTGGGTCGCTCGGCCGCCACACGGCCGAACTCAAGACACAAACATGCTGTTCACCGCCAGGCACCCAAGACCCTAAACCCCAAGCCCTCAACCCCAAGCCGCAAACCCTGAACCAAAAACATTGGCTTAAGCAGTCTCGTGAGAAGGACAGGCATTACGATAGATTTGCATGATCCTTGGGACAGTTGCTAGTTTCGATGTATCTAAAGGTATTTGTCTGCAATGTCGTGTATCAACGACTACTTAATAACTTAATGATAAATGAACGGCTTGACCCATACGACGTTTCCAGCCAGGAACCAGCTAATTTTGCGGGCTTGGGGCGCGGAGTTTGTTCCAAATACGGTAGCATAATCTCTTTTGTAGGGTCATACTACTAAACCATGAAATTTACAGAGGAACCCAACAAAATGCAGGTTAAGTTCCACATAGAGTTCATCGTTGAGGGGAAGGTCTTGATGTAAGACGTAAGGGTTTAATACGAGGCCCTCAATAACTACCAATACTCTTTTGATGGCTCCTTACTATAATCATACCATAATCTACCCCCCAAACCTTATTCTAATTGTTAAGGCCCCTACGTTATACTATTCTGATGGTTCCTTACTAGAATTATAGTACAATATACCCCCAAAACCAGAATAAGGCCCCTACATTCGGGGCACTTATTGAGGCTCCAGGGTTCAGGGACAGGGGCGACAAATGATCCATGCAAGAGCCTTCAAACTAAACTGAAAACCCTAAACCCTAAGAAACATGATTTTTTCACCGTATAAACCCCAAACTTGAACCATGAGCATGACAGCTGCTGAGCTGGGATCCTGCTTTGGGTGCTCTGTTTTTGTATCGGGGTGATGGCTGCAAACTTAGGTGCGCTCTTATTCCTGGTGCCTTCCTTGAGGAAGTGCCTAGGATCGTCAATTGTGCCTTTCGTTACCCGTGGCTCTATTCGGGTTTGGGTTAGATTTTAGGGTTTATCTAAGGTATAGGGTTTAGCGATGTGTTTACGGATGTCTAGGGGTTTAGTAAGTCCCCTAAACCCAAAACCTCAAACCCTAAACCCCTAAACCCTAAACCCCAAACCCTTAACCCTAATTCCTAAACCCTAAACCCTAAACCCTAACCCTTGGAGGCTTTAGGGAATTTCGTGCTTGGGGATGGCAAGCGGGAGTCGGCAGCGCTTTCAGAATCTCCGCTTCCTTCTCGAAGTTAGGGGTCCTCTGTTACGAGTAGGTAACCTTTAACTTTTTGGGCCTTATAATCCTACTATATTGAAAAGGTTAACCTTTTTTCGGCTAGGGTACTCAGCCCCTAAGCTTAGGTCCCCAAAACAGTACGGCACCCAGAAAAAAGACCCTTAAAGGACGCTACAGACGCGGGCGAGTGCATCCACAGTGGTATTCCTTGTCCATATTTGAGCCACGTCTTCCCGTTGGTTCACACTGTGGTTGATGCTGACCTTCACGTGCTCATGAAGCTTGCTTTCAGGCCGGGTTATTCTCGCAGACTGGCGACACGAAGCAGCTGATGCTCATTATTCCGGCCTTTAGGCCGGGTATTCGCTCGCACCTACAACAGGAGAGCTACGGCTCATGATGCTGGCTTGAAGGCCGCGAATTCTCGCGCACTGGCAACAGGAGATGCAGCTGATGCTCTTGATGTTGGCCCATGTTGGCCTTCACGCGCACAGGCAGCTGCAACAGGAGATGCAGCTGAAGCTCATGATGCTGGGCGTAATTATTCAGGTGCATCGGCAACGGGAGATGGGAGGCAGCTGATGATGCAGCTGATGCTCATGATGCTGGCCGTCAGGCCGGGTAATCACGTTCACTGGCAATATTCGATGCAGCTGATGCTCGTGATGCTGGCTTTGAGGGCGGGTTTTCACAGGCAACTGCCAGGGAGATGCGACTGTGACATACGCTGGCAAAAGAAGGTGCAGCTGATGCTCATGATGCTGGGTTTGAGGTTGGGTTTTCTTCCGCGTTGGCCACCAGACATGCAGCTGATGCTCATGATGTTGGCTTTCAGGCCCGGGAATCACGATCACTGGCAATGATGCTCATGATGCTGCCTTTGAGGCCGGGTATTCTCGAGCACTGGCCGCAAGAGATGCAGCTGATGCTCATGATGCTGGCCTTCACGTCGTGCACCGGCAACAGGAGATGCAGCTAATGCTCATGATGCTGGCTTTCAGGCCGTGTATTCATGCGCACTGGCAACCGGAGGTGCAGGTGCTGCAGCGAATGCTCTAGAGTCTTTTTGGCTTTTCAAGTTTCTTTCTATCCTTCAGAATTGGGAGCTACGCTCCCAAACTATCGAGAAAAACTTTAAAGCAGCAGCCTATAGGATCCCTTAAATCCTGATTCCTGAAACCCAGAACCTGTAGAGTAGGATATTCTCGGAGTCACTGTCACGGTTGCACCATAGCCGTTCAGCGTCGCAAGCGCAGGTGGCATGTTGGCCGGCCACGAAGAGTGCGCCGGCGAGGCAAAGCAAGCATCCTAGAATCTGTGCGACTTGATTTGAGACTCTATCTCTCTCTCTCTCTTTCTCTCCCTCTCTCTCTCTCTCTCTCTCTCGCTCTCTCTCTCTCTCTCTATCTATCTATATATATATATATATGTATAAAGATATGTTCATGTTTAACTGGAAGCAACATCTATCTACATACATATATATATATATGTATGTATATGTATATATTCGCATATGTTTCTGTATATGTGTATGTATATGTATATATGTCTATGTACATATGTATGTATGTATGTATATATGTCTGTCTGTCTGTCTG